TGGATACCCCCATAACATTATCATTTCCATCATTGGTTTATTAATAGCAGTATAGAAATTATACTACTACAAATCTTGTTTGAAGCAACATAGTTGTATTTTCAAACTTATTCAAAAAATAAAGGGCGAATTATACTTTATATCCTAAACTATTTAAAGATTTTCATTTTATACCATTACAGATTAAATTTCTTACATTGTATTTTCAATGTATTAAAAGTGTTGTAATATGATTTTTTTGTTAATTTTTTTGTCTGTGTCAATGGAATGACTTTTAACGAAAAAAAATAACGGAAGTTAACAGAAATGTCACATTGCAACATTTTTGATACATTGAAGATGTAATGCGATAAATTTAATCGTTAAAGATGCAAAATAAAATTTTAAAATCTTTTAAGGTGTAAAGTTCGAAAAATCCAAAAAAAAATTAATCATGAATTTCAGGGTCTGTTTGGATTGTGTTCCAGAAACAATTTTCTGTTCTCAAAAAACAGTAAAACTAGAGAGATGTTGTTTGATTAAAAAATTTCAAAAAAAAAAAAAAGGAATTGAGAACATAAACTAGAAAACACCTAAATGATATTTTATGAGTTTTCAAGTCAAAATAGAAAACAAGGAAAACAACTCTTACTTTTAATGAGGTCCACACTTCAAACTTTATTAATAGTAAAGCCCCCCTTTTTTTCTTTTGTCTTCTCTCTCTCCACAAATATAGAGATATATGTACAAATTTGTATATATACACAAATATGTGAGTATATATATGCAGGTTGTCTCTGTGTGTGTGTTTGTACTGTGTATGTGTGTTTTGGGAAAGAGAGGGGGGAAAAAATTAAGAGATGAGAATTTGGGGTTCGTGGATTATTCAAATATATTTTATAATTTTTTAATTTTTAAAATTATTTTAAAAAAATATATAACCAAACAAATTTTACAATCTAAAAAATTTTAAAATATTTTCTTAAAATTTTTCTCAAAAATTATTTTAAAATATTTTTTTTCAGATGTAATTTAAACACGCCTCAAATGTCTCGTTTTCTTTCCAGGGCCGACCCAATAGTGTAATAAAAAAAGCAGGGGTTTTAGGCCCCAATTATAAAGAAGGCCCATATTTTTTAATGTACAGTTTAATCTAGTTCAACGTTCTAAATATATGGCAATATAAATTTCACAAAAAGTCTTAATAAAATATACACCTAGCAACTAAATTTCAAATTTAATAGTTTAGCCCAAAAATACTGCCCACATATTTTGTTGAAACAGTCAAAATTCAATGTAGTAAAACAAAAACAGCGAAAGCAAAACTCTCATCTCTCTCTCTCTCTCTCACACACACTCACTCTCTTACATTTCCGATTAAAGACAAACAAAACTCCCTCTCTCTCTCTCTCACACATGCAAATTTTCATCTTAAATCATATACCAAATCAAACTCACATAATATAACCCATTTAATTTTGCAAACTTTGATTAAGAAAGAACTAAAATGTCAAATTTTAATGTTACAAATAACCGTGACATTTCAAACTGTATTGTTTTTATATTTTTTTATAATTTTAAACTCATGTTATATTATATAATTATAGATACCATATGATTATTTAAAACTAATTTGTCGATTGTGTATTATAAATATGGCAACTACAAATCTTTCTAAAAAATGAGAAAATTTTAAAATAATTGAATCTCATAATGATATCTTTATTCCTCTTACTAAATAAAACAGCATAGAAAAATAGGTTAAAGTCCTATAAATAAATGATTAATAAATCCCCAAAAAATAAGAAATAATAAAACAATACAACAAAATAATAATAATAAAATATTCATAATGAGAGTTAAACATACAAAACAATTGTTCTTGATGCAAAATATACAAAGAAAAAATGTTAGTAACAAAAATTTTAAAATTAATAAAGTTAGAAAGAATTGGAGAAACAACGATGCAAACAATTGAAAAACAAACCTCATTTATAATTGTCGCTTTAGGTGTCAATTTTTCTTGAGCGACCCCTATTTGTTTCCTGCATCGGTTATATTCTACATGCACGTCTGCATCATTGTCAACCTTACGCACACACACATAGTCATCACCCACAAGCACATTGCACTCGCACGCGCACAAAATGACGGAGCCATGTCATGGCCAGAGCCCCCCTCTCCCTCTCGCCCTCAAGTTTCTAAAATTATGCTTTAGCCTCCTAAAATTATGTTTATGCACATTAAGTTTTTAAAATAAGTTTTACACCTCTAAAATGATGCTTTGATTTCATTTTACATGGCCCTCTATAGTTTTAAATTTATACCTTATACCTTTACAATTTGATCTTTATTTTCTTCCATGCTTTGGCTATTAATTTGAATACATTTGTTCGACTTTTTTGCAATATATAGAGAAATAATAAAATTTAGCTCTATTCAAGTGATTATGAGATAAAAAAAAATGGCTTAAATTGTTGATTGTTTGATGAATTGATCTTAAATTTCTTTACATCTAATCTTGACAAGTTTGAATTATTTTTTTAATTTTATTAAAATATATTTCTATAATGTACTGTACGTAAACGTTGATTTAAATAAATTTTATACAATTAACATAATGATAGCCCATTAAAAAGAAATTTTTTGGTTATGTCCCTATTTGACCCCCTTTAAGAGATAATCCAATCTTGACTTTGCCCCTGTGCACACATACTCTTGTAAAACCATATCTCTTACGCACAACCCTAGCAATATGTAGTTACCACCAACTAAGTCCACTTTACAAATTTAAAAAAAAAATCGCAATAACTAATATTTCAAACCAACAAATTTATAAATCAAACTTAGATTACAATCAATATTACTATAGTTCGAACCAATCAAATTGGAAAGGGTAAGGAAGGGATGTGAGTTTCGTTGTTTAGACTAAAGGTTAAACAACTCCTTGATTGGTTCAAATTGTTGAGCTAGGGGATGGGAGGGTAGTAACAATGTATAGAATCCTCTTCTCTCCTTTCCTATTTAGCTAGGTTTTGTTTTTGATCAATTTTAACCAAGATTTATCATATTACCAATAGACCGATGATGATAAAAAAGCCATTTCATTTTTTAAATAAAATTTTTTGTCATTTTCATGGAGGAACCACACTTTACATCCTAGAAAATTTAAGAATTTATACTTTTTTAAAGATTAAATTCTCATATTGTACTTTCAATATATTAAAATTATTGTAATGTGATATTGTTGTTAACTTTCGTTACTCGTTTTTATCAAAAATTATCTCTATTAACGTTGATGAAATAAATAACAGAAACTAATGACTAGTCCATATTGCACTACTTTTAGTACATTGAGGGTGTAATATAAAAATTTTAATCTTTAAAAGTATAAAGTGAGAAATCTTAAATCATTTTGCGTACAAAGTGTAATTCACTATAAAAAAATATTAGGGGCGGACATATAACTAAATCGACATGTGATTGGTATTAATGTAATGTTTCCAAAAATGTTATGTGTTTTTACGAGGGTTAATTATAAGTTACACCATGAAAGATAGTTTGAATTTTAATTTAGACCCTCAAAGATTAAAAATTTTAATTTATACCCTCAAAGATAGAAATTTATATAAATATGCACTCCCAAAGATCAAAAAACTCAATTTATACCCTTAAAGATAGAAGTTTGTATCAATGTGTACCCCAAAGATGAAAAATTTTAATTTACACCTTCAAAGATAGAAATATGTATCAATATATACCTAAAATTAAATTGATAAATTATACTTAGATCCCCTCATGTTTGTCACTTAATTATTTGGACCGTTTCATATTTAGAATATTACTCCTACATCTCATGACGTTTGTGCACGTATAACACGTAGCCCATTTTCGTTGATATCTGTTAATATAACCGTTAAAAAATNTTACTTAATTATTTGAACCCCTTCACATTTAGAATATTACTCCTATATCTCATGACGTTTGTGCACGTGTAACACGTAGCCCATTTTCGTTGATATCTATTAATATAACCGTTAAAAAATATAATTTTATCATAATAAACAATTATAATTTCATATTACCCTTTATTTTGTGGGTTCGATATACTCTAAAGTTCAAAATCAAGCTTACCATTTGAATGTTTAATAAAATGTAGATATTTATATAATATTTTTTATATCCAATGCAATATATCACTCAATGTGCAACCTTTTATTCTATTAGACATTCAAATGATAAGTTTGATTTTGAACTTTAGAGTATATTGGACCCATAAAATAAAGAGTAATAAGAAATTATAATTTTTTATTAGGATAAAATCATATTTTTTAACGATTATATTAACAAATATCAACGAAAATAAGTTATATGGTACACGTACACAAATATCATGAGATGTAGGAGTAATATTCTAAATGTGAAAATGTCCAAATGATTAAGTGACAAACATAAGAAGATTTAGATATAATTTATTAATTTAGTTTTAGGTGCATACTGATACAAATTTTTATATTTGAAGGTACAAATTGAGATTTTGTATTTTTAGGGGTACACATTGATACAAATTTTTATTTTTGAGGGTGTNTACTGATACAAATTTTTATATTTGAAGGTACAAATTGAGATTTTGTATTTTTAGGGGTACACATTGATACAAATTTTTATTTTTGAGGGTGCAAATTGAGATTATTTATCTTTGGGGGTATACATTGATACAAATTTTTATCTTTGAGAGTATAAATTAAAATTTTTGATTTTCGAAATTACAAATTAAGATTCGAATAATAGATTCTATTGTATCTTAATAAATTTTTTATCATATTATTAGTCTCAACTCATTATATTCTCAAATCCACAAATTACCCTTTCTATAAATATAAGAACCTTGCTTCCCCGGTCTACACCTTCGCTGCTTCGCGCCCGAAAACTGAAAATAGTCNAACTCATTATATTCTCAAATCCACAAATTACCCTTTCTATAAATATAAGAACCTTGCTTCCCCGGTCTACACCTTCGCTGCTTCGCGCCCGAAAACTGAAAATAGTCACTGCCCAGAGGAGACCCCTATATGTATATCAATGGAAGAGGACGAAGACGAAGAAGAAGAGAATGGGGAAGGGTCGTTTCTCGTCTCGCCGGACGGGAAGCCGTCGCCGGACGAAAAAGAGGGTGGAGACTCCGCTGCAGCCGGTGGTGACGATGATTGAGGGCTCGACGAGTAATGGTGTTGGAGTAGCGAACATGGGGTCGATCTCTGAGATGGTGGCGGCGGAATCGTCCAGCAAGCCAGGGAAGAAGAAGGCGGGGGTGTCGAGGCTGTGGATGTGGTTTGACAAGTCGGGGCAGTCGGAGCTGATCGAGTGCGAGAAGAGTACGATCATCAAGCGAACGTCGATTCCGGCTAGGGATTTGGGGATTCTTGGCCCACTCTTCTCTCACTCCTTCAACATTCTTGGTATTCAATCTCATTCCTCTCTCTCTATCTCTATCTGCCATTTTTATGCCGTTTCAGAGAATAGGTCTTATTGATAACTATGCCCTGCCCCTTATTATATTTTTGATTGATTCAACTGGCTGATTTGCAATTCTGTGTATCGATATTTTCTGTAGAGGCATGCAGATGAATGCTGGGCTGCTGCTATTAAATGTCGGCTTTTCTACCAGCAACTATAAATCATTCTTGTTTTTACCTATTTATACGTAACGAAGAGTATACCATATTCAAACCTCCTAGGTCTTCGTCTTTCATGGTTACTCATCGCCCGTAAAATTGTCCCGCAGGGCTATTATTAATCTATCTATCTAATATTACTGCCCGAAAGTTGAATTATCAACTTATAAAAACACAACGGTGAAGATGGATTCAATTCTTGTGATCCAATTACACAAAATTTATCTCAAAATAATTTTTCCCACTAAAAAACATCATTTTTCTTCACGGTCGTTAATATCAAACAATTCAACTAATACACTTCCCAATACCAAACAACCCCATTAGTCCTCACATAATTCTCTATCCCTACATCTCTTTTATTTTCTCTCTTTTCAAATATAAAAACTGCACAATTAATGTTCTTTATAGAGTCTTCATTTAGATACGAGATAATTGTTATGTATCTATACTATATATATAAAAAATCGGTTATTAATCTATGTATCTATATTCTATACTATATATATAAAACAATCTATCTATCTAAAGCAAAAAAATTAGATTGGAGAGGGCTTGACAACCCTTCTCTCCCTATTTTCTTTTTTTTTTTAAGAATTTTAATTTTTTTAATTCAACAAGCATGATTCCCTCCAATCAATTCCTTACACTTGGATCCTTTTAAAATTCCTCTACAATCTAACTACTTATCTTGTTACTTACTCCAACTCAATTTTTTCACTTTCCACTTTCCTCTTTTAATGCCTGACATAACTTCCCATTCATTCTATCTCTCCCTCCATCTTCTATTTTCCCCTTTTATATCTCAACTTTTCCTTTCCTCTCTGATTAAACCAAAAAATTATTCATATTTTCAGTTGGATGATGCACGGAGTAGTTTTTCTTTCTTTTATGTCTTAGATTATTGTACTGTACTAATCTACTAAGTTATTACATGCTGACACCGATTCGTGATTATGAATTCCAAGCATGCTGTTGACTATTATTCCTGGTTACCTTCTAAAGCCAGTTGTCACTAATGGCTTACTCTTTTTAGTTCTAAATGGNACTACATGCTGACACCGATTCGTGATTATGAATTCCAAGCATGCTGTTGACTATTATTCCCGGTTACCTTCTAAAGCCAGTTGTCACTAATGGCTTACTCTTTTTAGTTCTAAATGGGTAATTATGTCCAACAACCACTGGTAAACTGAGGGTAAAATGTAACTGTATCTAATTTGGGTTCTCAAGAAGCAACAATTTCTCAATTGTTTTTTGGATATAATTTCTTTTTTTCGAGGCTTGTTTAGTACTTTCCCTATAGCTCTGTATAAGATTGCTTGAGTAGGTGTATTTAATAACATATGAAATGTGATTCTGTTGTGTTTTTTATGATCAGTTTTTTTTTTATTCCAAGATCCTTATGAATCAAAAGGGTTTTAAAGGTTGAATGGATTAAGTTATTTGCTTAGCATGTTTTGTGATGGTTTGATAGTTTTTTTTATGACTAAGAATGGGCTTTGAACCCCTCCCCCTCTTTTAAATTCCATGACAACACTTGACTTACTGTTCTATAATGGTTTGCATGTTTCTGCTTGGATATTGTTAGTTATTTATATAACTATTCTAAGTAAACCTAACTCTAGGAAAACGCAGATGTTAATCTAAATAATCTGATATTGAAGTGTAGCGTATAAATTACAGAAAGATAGTGCACTCTGGCATTATGACTTATCTGGAATGTCTATACGTACTTCTCCTTAGACATGAAGATAATCCACACCTCATTCACATTTGGTTCAGCATTAAGTGACCAGAACACAGAGCAGAAGTGGTAGTTGGAGTAAAAGCTTGAGAGTAATGACTGTGAAAAATGTGAAATCATCTGGTATGTGATAAAATATTGTAACAGACGTAAATTCTAACTTGGATTATTTTTAATTGAATGCAATCATTGATTTCTTTAGGCTAGGTGGGATGAAACTTGTAGTGCTTGTGATGATGGCAGGAAAAGGATTTCTTTCTTGCAACATGATACAAACATGCTGGCAGCGACTAATGTTCTTTCCTGATAATTGATGCATTAATTGGGGCCATTTACATGGTGTGATCGAAAACATCATGTTTAATAAACTCGCTCTTCTATATTTTAATTTGAGTTTTTGCCTTCACTTATTCCCCCGTCAGTGGAAAAAATTTGAGAGGCTTTCTGGCATCAGATGCCTTTTATTTTAAGTAGACTTGATGATGGCCATTTTAGTGTGCTTAGTTGTCTCCCTTTTTGTTTTTAGAAATGTCTTGTACATTTTCCCTTCTTCGTCATTTTTTAAAAATGAGAAATCCAGTAGTCTCTTTGGTTGTAAGGTTCTTGAACTCTCTCACTTTCTCACTTTTACTCATTAAATTTTATCTGCTGTTAGGTTTTAATGTTAACCACACTGGTAATGCTATTATATTATAAAACTGATGTTTTTCTCCTTTGCAGCTAGGGAGAAGGCTATGGTTGTCAATTTAGAGTTTATAAAGGCTATAATTACAGCTGAAGAAGTGTTGTTGCTTGATCCTCTGTGCCAGGAGGTTCTTCCATTCGTGGATCAGCTAAGGCAACAACTTCCTCATAAAAGCCCGTTAAAAATACGTGGAGCAGGTCAAATGGTTTCCCTGGAGAATGAAACACGTATTCCTACTTCTGGACGATGGTTAACTGTTCCTCAAGCTGTTGAAGGTGGTTTGCAGGCCGAGCTTCCATTTGAGTTTCAGGTTCTGGAGATCGCATTGGAGATTTTCTGTACATATTTGGACTCCAGTGTTTCGGAACTTGAGAGAGATGCTTACCCTGTGTTGGATGAACTGGCCAGGAATGTCAGCATCCAGAATCTTGAGCTTGTGCGGAGTTTGAAAAGCAATCTTACCCATTTGCTTGCACGGGTGCAAAAGGTACTTTTCATTATGGCTTTTCCCTTTTTCTTCTATTCTTTTTTGTTCTCCACAAAAAAATCTGTCGCTTATATTTTGTTCCTTCATAGTATTCTGGAAGTACGCCAGTTATTATCTGTCACTTAAGAAGTAGGAACACATGGAACTATTTCATCATATAGCTTCATAACATTGACAAAGGATTTACAAGTTGGAAAATAAATGTCAATCATGGGCCTGTTTCAAGTGATCAGGCGGAGGCACATTGAAGCAGNTTATTGAAGGCTTATATTTTGTTCCTTCATAGTATTCTGGAAGTACGCCAGTTATTATCTGTCACTTAAGAAGTAGGAACACATGGAACTATTTCATCATATAGCTTCATAACATTGACAAAGGATTTACAAGTTGGAAAATAAATGTCAATCATGGGCCTGTTTCAAGTGATCAGGCGGAGGCACATTGAAGCAGCATGTTCCATGATCAGGGGTATTAAGGTTTGAGATGTTAGAACTTAGATGTGGTAGCCTTAGTTATTGATACTGGCCTTTTTAAGAGAACCAATTCTGAATGATGGCTTAGTAATGATACCTACTTGTACTTTCATCTGCTTCCTAGCCTTCCTTGGCTACCTTAATGTAACAATGACCTCAATAACCTCAACTGGGTTTACTTGTGGAGTGTACAAGTTCACAGTCATGTATTATGTCCTGCCACCGCTACATAAGCAGAAGCTATTATGGAACCCTTGTTTCAAAATTTCATCTCCCACTTCCATACTTCTGTTCTTGTTTGTCTCGAACGTTGGATTCTTAGCCACTGCTTGATAAATAATTATTTATCAGTGCAACTTTGCAAGCTTCGATCCTCAATGCTCCTTCTAAGACAGNCGAACGTTGGATTCTTAGCCACTGCTTTATTATTTATCAGTGCAACTTTGCAAGCTTCGATCCTCAATGCTCCTTCTAAGACAGAACCAATAAGAGTATAAGAATGGAAAATAGCTTATATGCTACTCTGAGTTGTCCAGAGTGATAGGCTGTAAGGAATCCTTACAGCATGTTTCTTGAAAGCAGCCTCGAATGCACTTCTACTCCTCATTCTTGCAGTATTTTGTAGATTTTCTATAATTTCCATACTTTTAAATATCAAACTCGTTGATGTACAATATCAGGTCTTACTATCGAAGAAGTCTAAACTTTTTTCATTTCTTTGCTAAGGATAGATCATCAGTTGATGTATGACTATATTGGATTATATTTAGGAAATTTTAATATAGGTTTCTATCTTGATCATAACAAGTAGTTAAAAGTACTTTAGAATGTAATTTTTGTTGATATCGTCAAAACGTTAATTATGATGCCCATAATTAATCATACCTACATTATATTATGCACTGGAAACTAAAAAAACCCATTCAAATGCTGCAAGCTTTGGTTGTACCATGGGCTAGTGAATTTAATAGGAGTCTTTCCCATGAAAGAGAAATATTCACTGGCATTGTAATTCATTTCTGTCATGTGATGCTTGTGCCTTTGACTGCTCGCTGGAACTGGTGGTGTGATTTAGAATCACATCAACCATTTCTTGGATCTGCATTTTGGAATATTTCTCCTCTGCTCTGTTAACATGCCATAAAATGTGTCCAATGAAATTTTTTTGCATGTTATTATAAGCTTTCAGCCTTTCTTTCTGAACTTTACTTCTACTTCTTGTTGATCATCATTCTAACCAAGTCATGGTTTTAACATGTTTCCCACGATATTGTTGTGGGTGGCTTCTTTATAATAAATCCGAGTCGGTTTGGTTTCAGCCTTTCGGGTTGGGTCTAACTTGAACCAATCCTAGCTGACTTGCACCACTAACCTACTCAAAATCACGATTTCATTTTCTACTGAAGGATGAACTAGTATTTTATTGATAAAAAATAAAGCCAGATTACATAGAGGAAAGTTCAAATGGCCACTTTGTTGTACTGTGTATCTTGAATATAGCTTTAATTTCAGTTACTATGACCTTATCTTACAAGGCAAAGACAAACCTACCTCAAAACCAATGTTACGATGCAAGCGTATATTGTCCCTATACCTATACTGAATTGCAGTTCTGGTCAGTCATGCATATTAGTACATATTAGGGACTTCGTTTGTCGGTATAGTGCAATGCACCCAACTCAACAAAGCCTTGTCCCGATATCTTTTGGGCCGGCTACATTATATAGATATTTTTTGGATTCATGTTCATATATGGTGTGATGAAATTTATGCTAATTGTCAGCTACCTGGTGCAGTTGTGCTCCATTATTCTGGTTTGGGACCGGCTGTGTACAATAATACACATGCGGAGTTAGTATGATGCACCCCTAGAGCATAATTTTGGAGAGGATTGCCATTTCTTTTTCTACAGAATGATAAAATGATATTAAGTATTTAGAAAAGAGGCTAAATCAAGTGGAGGACATTTCAAATGACCATAGTTTTCAATTGTATTTCACAGCTACAATGTCATCATTTTACAAAGTCAAGTCTGGTAAGTCAGGCATGTTGCTACAGATTGTGGACATTTATGGGTCTCTTTGTGTGCAATATAATATGGGTCTTATGTTTTAGAGGCAACATCAATTTAATTTATTGTGAAATCTAAGTCTATGTAATTTTTCCAAACATATCGGCTGTGGACTATTTTAGGTGGGATGTACTTGTATTTTCCCACGTAAGACTTGGACAGATATCAAAGCTGTGTAACATATGTGCTTAGAGGTTCTTTGTAATATCAAGGTGTGCTTGAAGAAAATTTTCCTTTTTATATTTTTAGTAAGGCCTTTCGTTGTAATTGTCAGGATTTTAGCATTTCCTTGAAATGTTCAAGTTGGGCATCTACTTATAAATGTCCCTAATGTTTGTGCTAAACACGAGCAGGCTTGTTATTGACATATGTTTCATGTCACTGTTGTTGTATTCTTATTCATGCTAATCTTATTGAGTGGCAAATATGCCTGGTTAGGCGAGGAATGAAATAGAACATCTGTTAAATGACAATGAAGATTTGGCAAGGTTGCACTTAACACGGAGATGGATTCATAATCAGCAATCTGAGGCTTTATTTGGAGCTACGTCCACACATCATCTTCGTCGTCTTGGTTCAAGTGGGAGTGGGAGTGGAAGTTTGGGCATGAGTAAGCATTTCAATGGCCATGATGTTGGGGATCTGGAAATGTTGCTTGAGTTTTATTTCAGGCAGCTGGATCGTACACGCAACAAGATATTATCTGTGAGTACTATGTCATGAGCTGTGAACTATTACTTACATATTTGTTGATAAAATATATACTGCTATATTTTTGGTGGTAAGTACTGTTGTTAGTATTGTATGGATATGGATGCAAAACACTATAATAGAGATCAGAAAAACTTATCAGTCGAGGACACAACAAATACTAGTTGGTATTCTTAAAGTCAACAGTTTTTTGATGATAATGTACTTCTTTTCTGCCATAGCTTTGAATCTATGTTAGGTTTAAGTCGTGTATCTGCTGCTAAGTTCTTAATTCAGCGGTCATTCTAAAAAAATTAGGTTCTATTCTGATGGATGTTTGTTGCGGCATTATTGACTGGTCAAGAAATATATTGTTGTCCGTTTTGGTGATTTGCAGATAGTTTTGAAACAGGCTATGACTTGTGAGTGCCTTTATTTTCTTCTTTGTTGTTTTTTTTTCTTTCTATTGTCGTCATTCGAAAAAAACAAGTTCTTTGCTCTTTTACATGCAAGTCAAGGAAGTAATGGGTATGAGATGAACAGATGTTGCTGTTCTTTCTTACTGGCACGCTGTTTGAAATTTTGGGAGTGTGATCTGAAAAAAAAGATTTGATATGATGAGAAATTATCGAGGAAGAAAGTTTGGAAATTGTTTCAAAAGAAGAGAGAATAAAGTTTGGAATGAAATGGTAGTTCCATCNAAAAGATTTGATATGATGAGAAATTATCGAGGAAGAAAGTTCGGAAATTGTTTCAAAAGAAGAGAGAATAAAGTTTGGAATGAAATGGTAGTTCCATCCTTCTATGAACTTAATTTGGAGCCTTTTATGTCATGCAGAAACAAAATCCGGAGTCCATTCTCAGTGGAAAACCAATAAAAAGAAGAAATGATCATTTTATAAAGAGTTCTAGTGCTAATTCTTACTGGAAGGATGTCTTAATCCAATGTATCCTATAATTGTTACCTTTTCTTTTGCTCTTTAACAAAGTCATTACTTATCTAGAAAAAAGGGCTTAATCTCACTGATCCTTTTAAGCACTTGAAACTCGGGGCTTTAACAATGAACATGGTTGCTAATGTGCTCCTTGATAGCGCTTTGTAAATACATTAAATGGTGTACAATCTGTTTACTTCAGTCTTTGATTTGGTGAAAAATAAATGAGAACTTGTGACAATTTTGCTGGGCTATTTGGTGGTATATAGGCTGGGGCCCTAGGTTTCGAGAGAAGCTTGGTGTGTCATGATCTTAATTAAACCTGATCAACTGGTTGTATTTGCTACTATGAATTGAAGTTCAGGTTTCCAGTGTGGAAACAGTGTGGGAGTCTTGTAAATTGGTGAAACTGGGATGAGTGCCTCCTAATCCATTGTGTTTTCCCTTTTTGTTTGGATTAATCGTTCATTGTGCGTTTACGAGGCATGGTAATCATCTCTCTCAGTTCCTTGAGCTTTATCTTTTTATTTTTCTTTTGAACTTTGCCTGTGGATTTTGCAGGTTCGCGAGTACATTGATGACACAGAAGATTATGTCAACATCCAACTCGACGCCAAGCGAAACGAACTGATTCAACTGCAATTGAGCATAACCATTTTAGCATTTTCAGTTGCTTTTGAGACTGTTATAGTCATGATGTTTAACATGAATATCCAATGTCCATTGTATCATATCTACGGGATATTCGGCCTTGTTACTGGAGTTGTTACAGCTGCTTGTGTATTAGTACTTCTCCTTGTTGTTGTATATGCCAGATGGAAGAGGCTACTGGGGTCTTGATCCCCTTATAAATTTGGCTATACTTGTGGTCAAATATATTATTAACTTCATGAGGGAGTTTTTAACCAGCACCTCATTGCTCCACATGAGTCATTTCAGCACATTATATACTCTAGTTCATGATGCTGCCAATTTTTTTTTTAAAATTCCTCATAAATCTCTGAGTGTGTAGTGTGTTCTATCTTCAGTGTTTAGCCGGTTTGAGTTTGGGAATCAGTTTCTCCTCCAGAGTGGGGGGTAAAGATTTTATAACTTACCTTTTGAAATCCAACTATACAGGATTATAAATAGGGCGGATATGTGTTGAGCAAATTCTCTCACGACATGATCGAATGACTGCCCTTGTATTATTTTTATTTGTACAATCATTATCTCCTCACACAATCATTAAAATTGCCAATACTATCAACTTCATAATTTTAAAAAAATTATAGTTTTTTCCTCAATTAAATTCGAGGCCTTATTGTCACTGTTTTTTGACACAGAAGAAGCATAGAAAATAACTAGAAAGTGTGTAGAAGTAAATTAGTATTCGAAATTTCCTTGTATTCCTTTTTTGAAAAAATATATATATATATATTTTTTATTTCTTTGTATTATTAACTGATAACAGATCTAATTGTATTTTGGTCTTCAAAATCTACTTAAAATTTGAATGAAAAAATTGAGTTAGTGTTTTTATATCTCAAAAATAAAAAAAAAATAAAAAAATTTAAATGAATATATATTAATTTTTAATAATTATTTAGTCTTATCTATATTATTATATTATAAAATATTGGGGCCTCATTNATAAAAATAATTTAAATGAATATATATTAATTTTTAATAATTATTTAGTCGTATCTATATTATTATACTATAAAATATTGGGGCCTCATTTAATATTTCTGCCTAAGACCTCATTTATGTTGGGGTGCCCTTGGCCATGAAATGCATGTGGTATCACAAATCAATTATGTATAAACATATAGATAGTATCAATGGATCCTATAAGTTGTCTAACCACTAACAATTCTTACATTTAATAATTATTATGTAGGATTAGTGATATTCACTTGTCATATTTATTTATTATTAATTGATAAATTATATTAATGACTAATAACTGTCCGTGCCTGAATGCACATGATAACAAAAAATTAAATTAAAACTAAAAAAATACTACAATTGCTAAAGACACTTAGAAACTTAAAATAAATCATTAATTTGTAACAATTTTCTTTAGTTGCATTAATTAAAAAAAATTAAAATCAATCAAGTCCCTACTATTTTTCAAAAATTTTAGTAAAATTTTCTGTAAAAATAAAAGCTCAAGAAAATATCAACCTATCTACAAACTCACAATCATCATAATATCTGTACCACCACACCCTCAAAATCAGTATTTCATATCCAACTACCAAAACAACCATAAATACACATCAAACCAAAGACATCTTCATAATCATATGTAATTAGTTCAACATACTAAACACAAAACAACTAAAACACATGCAAATTACACACACATAATTGTCTTCTTCAAACTTCAATTGTGTGATTGGGATGAAGGAATTCAACATCATATTTTAGTAATAACTCATGCCTAAACACACTTTGCATCTTTAAAAAAATCATTCAATTTGAAATAATTTTTCGTTCATTTGGTTTAATTAAATAAATTAAAATTAATCTAACCCCTGCTATTTTTTTTAAAATTGTTGCAAAATTTCCTCTAAAAATAGAAACTTAAAGTAATCTCAACATGTCTAACACAAAGTAAGTGGTCCACATTGACATCAATTACATCACTGTCCAACACAAACCATTGCGTAATCAATCTCAAAAATAAATTACTCAACTTAACTCAAAGACAATATTATATTTTAGTCACTACGCAGATCCAAACCAAAATAACATTTACTCACAACAAAAAATGCTTTTAGGGAGATTGTAGTTTATATGCATCTTGGAAAAACCAATATAAACTACTAATTTCAAGTCATTACAGTCAAAGGAAGCTTACTTCTCCATGAAATCATGTCTTACTTATCTCTAGGAGACTGATGGGAAAAAAAACGACTTTTATGACAATTTAAGCTCCGGTTCCATAGCATTATGCACACTATCAACACCTGCATGATCAAATTTATAATCCTAACCCGATAACCCTTTTCCACAAAAATATACAAACTCAAAGAAACCAATTTTTTTTCTTTAATTCCAAGCATCAAATCTTGTGTGTGTGTGTGTGTGTAAGGCATACAGAGAGAAGGGAAGAGAGAATGATAGTGTGTGGGAGAGGATGGTGTATGTGTGCATGTGCTATGTGTATGCGCAATGTGTGTTTGACCGTTGTGTTTTGACTATGTTCGTGAGTCGAGAGAGGGAGAAAGAGAGAAAAGTATCTGGGCGACGGGATGATCCATGGTAGAGGAATGAGCGAGAGAGAGAGGAAGTAGACAGAGTGGGGCGGTTGCGCAGAAAGGGGTTTGGTAGGAAGAGAAAGGGTATCAATTTGTGATCGTAGGAGGGGAAAGATTGAAGCACTGTTCTCAGAATGGGGGGTTATAGAGAGAGAGAGAGGAGAAAAAAGAAAAAGAAAAGAACACGCATGGAAAATTAAACCTCAAGTGTGGGGGTGTGTGCCACACCTACAATGTGTTCAAGCAAGATTTAGTTTTGGAGTTAAATGTACCGTGAGTCTTTGAATTAGATTAGATGGATTTAGATGAAATCTAAATTGTTAGCTTAAAATTCAATCAAATCCTAGTCATCCTTGTGCTTTCTGCTTTGGAGATTCAAAATGGAGTCTAACTTATTATTATAGATAGACAGTATAGGTTTCTTAAGCCCTCTCACCTAAAGGCACTTTCCAACCTGAAAAACCAATACAATTTGAAATAGTATTTTTTTCATTTGCTTTAATTAAAAAAATTTAAATCAATATAGCCCTCGATATTATTTTTAAAAAAATTGACTAAATTTCTTCTAAAAATAGGAGTGTAAGAAAATTTTAGCCTGTTTATAGAGCTTATATATCTCACTAAATGTATCATTGTCCAACACAAAACCATTGCATTGCCCCAACAAAAAATATTGCATAACCAATCTCAAGAATAAATTTCTCAACTTAGCTCAAAGACAACATTATATTTCAGTCACCACATAATTCAAACTAAAATAACATTTATATCATATAATAACAAAAATCACAACCACATGTTATACATGCAATGAAAAAAGAATTCACCAAATAATTTACCACTGAACTACTAGTTGTGAGGCCGATGTGACGAAAAGATTTGAACATGTTCTAGCCGACTCATGAATTTGATTCGTAAAAATGCCAATGTCCAATTGAGAGATAGGAAGAATAAGAAATCCCAACTATAGTAGAAAAAAAATTAGATCTCTCATTTGTGGCAACTATTAAAGAAAAAAACAATAGAACAAAGGCTACGATATGCGGAGGAATGAATTGAATTAACAGGACCCAAGAACCCAACACAAACCAAAGGATGGACCTTTGATAACAAACTGCACTAAGAACTATTAAATTTAAACCTTTATAATATCTTATAGATTTATACTATTATTTTTTCTCTAAAAAGTATTGCTTGTTTTCTAGTTATATGAAATCAGTTATACGCGGCATAAAAGTTTATTAACAGAAGTTCAACGTCAACTACCACATGACAGTGTTGAAAATAAATCTATAAAAGCTTATAACCAAGTTAAACCCATGTTGTTATAACAACCCTTTCATCCTTGACTAAGTGTTCCCTGGTAGAAATGAAATCATAGATCAACACCATTAAATTCAAATTAATCTAACTTAAGTTGTCCTATAAAAACCATGTCGAATGTAAAAATCATTAAAGCAATCATAAATTACATCGATAACACCAAAAATCCAAAAAAAAACCAAATTCACAACAATCAATACAAAACTCAAACAACAAATTTACAGAGACAACACCAAATTCATAAAATCGAACAAAAAATAAACAAAATCCAAAACATGTAAACCCAAAACAACTAATTGCTAGGGAGAAAGTCGTCTCGTAGGTGCAGCAAATTAACTTTTAATAGTTTTGCCTAAACACAATCAATCTTGTACAGGCTGTTGCAAGGATTTTTCAAGTAAATAATTAGGTTAAATCTTTTCATTTACAACTAATCAAGGAAAACCTCCACAGTTTTATATAGAGTAAGTGCAATTAACTAATTATAAAGTCAAATTGCCCAAAAAAGTCTGAAATGGTAAAGTTTAATGAAATCAAAAAAGTCCAATGATAGAAATGACAGCTCTAGTACTTATCGAAGTCTCACCAAGTGGCCTTACATAAGAGTCCATCTAGCACCGTTTGGCTAGCAGTCATAACCTATATATAAATGGAAGATGGAAAGAAAATTTGAAAATCAGATTTTTCTTGCTCAAATGTTCATTAAGCAATGGTTGTGTTATTATATAAAGCACAAAAAAATGATCTTGAAAAGGCTTCTTATTTTAAACAATTAAACTACACCCATTTACACAATGAAACCAAACCGAGATCTAATGAACCCATCCACATTCACGCACAAAAAAACTCACACAATAAGAGCAAGTTTACAGAACCAAAAGCATCCCTAAATATATGAATCATCTCCCAAATTAAGGGTGTGAACACATAACTACAAAGCAAATTAAAAGACAAACTTAGCACAAATAAGTTCAAACTCCATCAATCAACCTCCAAGTAACCCAAGCAAACATTCAAACTATTTAACCCAAATAATAACTATTTTGGTATAATCCCAAAATTATCCCAATTAATATATGAAAAGTTTATTTAAAAAAAAAAACACACATTCAGTAATCCCAAGTGACTCTCTTAGCACAAACATTCCCAAGTAATCAAAGAAAAAGATAATCTCAAAAAAAATAACACCACATGTTAATTCACAATCACAACCAACAAACGACTGCAACTATGTAAATTAGCTAACTTGGTGAAAAAAAGGAGGAAAAT